AAGGATTTGAACTCAAGATTTATAGACCTATGTTTCTAGAACATTCCAGGAAAATGTGACAAAATGAAAAATGTCTCCATTGTATTAACATGTAATGGATGTAATTTACAGGAAGTTTGCGATGAATTTCTTACTTTTTGAAGAACGTTTGGAAGAACAATGAAAACATAATATCTGCATGCCTTACTTCTTACACTAGAATATTTTTCTTAACGTGTTTATCTTCCCTTTATTTTGGCTACTTTTCACTAGACACAAGCATAGAAAATATCAAAAATGCTTCCAGTCTCATCACATGGACAGGTATTATACACTCATGTCCATGAATTAAGGATAATTCGGAGTATGCGGAAATCGAACTCTAAAATAAATATATCACCTGTAAAATCACTACACACATCTTCAAGAATCATATGCAAATTTCTGGAAGTAACCAGATGACACCGATGGTACGTCACAATGACGAGAGTGTAAGAGAGTGATATATAAGGAATACAGGCAAAGAAATAAAACTGTTCGCAGGCGCTTTATAAGCATTTCAGTGCAATAACCGAATAGTTATGACACAAAGGACGCATCAGGATGATTTTTTACGTGGTAGAATTATCGGCCGTCTGGAATGTGGGCGTACCCAATTGGAAGTATCAGACGAACTTGGAATTGCATAGAGTGTGATCTCCAGGCTTTGGCAATGATTCCAAGATGATGGTAATGTGAGTAGACGTTACAGCACAGGTCGCCCCAGAGTTACAATGCCGAATGAGGACCGGTATTTGGCAGTTATTGCCAAAAAAAACAGGCGGAGCACAGCCTCAGACCTGTCTCGTCAGCCACTGTTACGATAATTTCAAGGTAGACCGTGCACAGACGCTTAGGGCAGATTGGTCTATATGCTCGTAGACCTGTCAGATGCGTTCCACTTACTGCAACTCACTGTCGCCTGCGGTTAGCCTGGAGTAGAGAGCATGCATTGTGGACACGCAACAGTGGGCTTGTGTGATGTTTTCCGACGAGTTCAGGTTTAGCTTGCAGTCTGATTCTCGCCGGACTTTCATATGGAGAGCTCCAGGTACCCGTTACCACCAAGAAAACATCATTGAACGACACTGTTACGGTGGTGCAGGAGTGCTCGTTTGGGGTGGAATTATTCTGGGTTCCAGAACTGACCTGCATGTTCAAGTTGGAACCATGACAAGCCAAATCTATCGGGACGTCATTCTGGAACAACATGTACGTTTGTTTCGGGGCGCCATGGACGCACAATTTGTGTTTATGGATGACAACGCCCGTCCTCACCGTGCAAACATCGTAAGCGAATGCCTTCAATCGGAGGATATCACCCGTATGGACTGGCCAGCATTCTCACTGAACTTGAATCCAGTAGAGCATATGTGGAACATGCTTGGCCGACGAGTTGCAGCCCGTCAACCTCCTCCTACATGTCTACCGGAACTTTGGAGAGCATTGCTTTTTGAGTGGTGTAATATCCCCCAAGATCAGATCAATAATTTGATACTCAGTATGCCTAGCCATTGTACGGACTGCATTGCATCGTCTGTGAGACATACAATGTATTAACAATCATATCAACCATGTAATATTGGTTTTTTTGTAAATAGGTTTTTTTTTTTTTTTTTTTTTTTTTTTTTTTTTTGTAATTTGCTCCGGGAAGAAAAAATCGCTAATTTTTTTAATAATATTAAACATATAGCATCTTTTTTTGCTCCTTACTTTTTGTTTAATAAATAAGCTTTACAAATAAGTCAAATTTGTTTTGCTTCTAACTCTTCCTTTGCCTGATTTTGCATTATCCTTAATTTATGGACATGAATGTAGAAAGAATTTTTCTATTGATAAAGAAATTCAAAATTTGTTATTAAGATTTTAAGGTCCAAAATCCTAGAATGCAGCAAAAATGAAAAGAGGTGATTGACAATAATTTTTCACGCCATCTTCACAAAGGGGAAGCTCACTTAAAAGTACCGGAAATAGAAATGCACTTTAGATCGATTTTTTAGTGCAATGGAAAAACTGCTGATTTGAAAGCATGCTTTTATACTTTAGGGTATCATCTTTGTTAATTTCAGATGAGAGACTAAAAAAATCAAGAAATATTATTTCCCTGGGTTAGGATACAAATACGTGGTTTAGTCTTCAGAGCTGTTGAAAGGAGGAAAAATATTTCTAAGGCCACTTTTAGGTGCAAAACATTTATCTTTGGAAGGAAAAAAGGATGACACACTTGATGGCCGTATAAAATATATTTATTAAGCTTTATTGTGACTTCAATCTTGACCTTATCTTTTATTATTCACAAATAATAAAATCTTTAACTGTTTTTCTTCTTGAACAAAATAATATATTACAACCTATATTTACAAATAATTAAAAAGGGCCCATTACGGGTCTGGTAATCGAAAGTGTGTGTGTGGGGGGGGGGGGCAACTCTTGCTATCATAGCATGAAGCATGCTCTTTTTATATATTATCTAAAGCATAAAATATAATAACTTCAAAAATGCAACATAATTTTTCAGCTGGGTTGTTTCATTTTTCAATTTTTTTATTTTTCGGCTGAGTAACATCTCCTTGTAACATTATACTAGTTCAGTTGCAACATGATATGGTTTATGCATGCATATTTGCTAAAATATTTCATAAAACAATAATATTGGATTTAAATCACTTTCAAAAGCTTTTTAACACAATTTTGTTAATATTTAACACAAGTATAATGTAGTAGTAACTTGTGTTAATATTTAACACAAGTATATTTAGCTGTGTGCAATCATCAAAACACAAAAAACATAAATTTTATTTTAAAAATTTTTAATTTCTAACGAAATTTTAAAAGTATCTGCCTTTAGACTTACATGACTGTATTCAATCACCCATCTCTATAGATGCACATCAAAAATGTTGTAGAGGGGCACTGGTACAAAATATATACCAGCCCTCAAAAATCAGAATTGCACTCTAGGTTTTTTAAATACTAGATAGGTTAATAAAATTTATTTTATCAAAAGAAGCACTTCAAAGTTTTTGAACTTTCCATAAAGCCTCCGAGACTTAGGAATTGATGCTTTCTCTGGTCTTACATAGTTTTCACCCAGCCGCCGATATATTTCTAGTATTTTCTGCCTCTTGAAATTACTGAAAGGTGTATGAGGGCTGAATACTGTTACAGTTATACAAAGCATCAATTGTAGTTATTTAATTAAAATACCTATTAAAGTGATCCAGGGACCAGACCAAAATGTCACCAAGTGGTTGCCAAGCTCGGCGAATTTGGCAACAAAAATTAGTTGGCAAAACAGCTGCCAGCTTGGCAATATCTTACTAAATTAGCGAGATAGCCATTTACTCAATGTTGTTCCTTTATTTTAAATGTTAGGCTAAAAATGTCTGAGAATTAAAATAATAAAACAGAAACTAATGTGTATTTGCTGCTTCTGACTAAACTTAAAATAATTTCTAATGTGTTAGATTTGACATGCAGTCTAGCCGACCTCAGCAGGTTCAAATATAAAACAAGGTAAAAAATACACTTTCTTTCACCTATTGTAGGTATTTAGTGTTCCAAACTAACAGAGACAAAGAATTTGTGATTCACCTGGGGTAGCATTTGGATTCTCTTTGAAGTTATCTTCTGTGCAAGGGAACAGATGAAAGACGAAGTAATACTACAAACCGATATGAACTGGATATAAACATTTTATTACGGTTACACAAAACTCTACAGAATGCCTACAACTTTTGAAATTTTTGCCAGCTAGCAGCCAGCATTCTTTTTCACCAGCTGTGTCTCTCTCGCAGAATCATGACAGCAACATCAAGAATATTTTTTCTTAAGCTGCTGTTGGTGGTTTTTTTTTTGGGGGGGGACAACACAAATTAATTTCTGAATAAGAAAACATGAATATGATTTTCGAAAATATTAAAACAATTATATTCCTCACAACATTTTACTAATAATAATATAATTAATATATAAGTTCAAAAAATTAACACAGAATAATATACTTATCTTAATAGAGTTTTTACTTATAAGGTCAAGATTGAAGTCACAATAAAGCTTAATAAATATATTTTATACGGCCATCAAGTGTGTCATCTCTTGATAATTTCAAGGAACTCTTGGTTCACTAACTATGTTTTCTCAACACTTATTTTTCAGCAGAACATCCTTTTTCTAGATTTTCATGTTACATTATGCAGGAAACAATATAACTTTTTCACATATAACTTCACTATAATTATCCCTATATGAGCAAAATCTACAACAATATGTATATTTTCTGTTGGTGTAGAACTTTACACTAGTGACATAAATATTGTAGTTCGTGCATTTGCTTATGTTCTTCATGTGAGTATTAATATAATAATAAGTACATACATTTAGATTATTTGCTACTACAGAGTATCTCAGAAAACTCAAACATATACTTCAAAAGAATATAAAGCGAAACAGAAGATAAAATAACACATTAAAAAAAAAGTGCTGATAAAAGTCAAATTTTTGCAGTTGCATTTTTGCAGTAATACATAAAAAGGTATGAATGTATTAGTACATAAAACAGTAAAATACTAAAAGATAGTTTCACGAAGTAAACATTCTTGTTAGAAAACACAGAGGGTTATCAAAATGTCTTTGGAATGTTTTGTCAACCCTCTCTCCAAATTATTGTCAAGAAGATATGACTCAGGAGAAATGATAAGTATCATAGATTATTATATAAGACAATAATTACAGGCACATTATTTATAATTTTAAGTATAATAAGAGAAAACTGCAAAGTACTAAATTGCAATAAAATTAAATATATTAAGTGATATATTTTAAGATGATAATTTTAAACAATTATTAGTTTTATATATTTTTTTTTTTCATTTTTATTTATTTTTGTTGTTGTTTTGTTAACTCTTATTCTTTGTAGTATGTCATTAATACTTGACATTATAACATCAATTTTAACTTTGAATCTTTCTATATTTTAACAGAGCTAAAAAAATATTGTGTATTGCCTTTTGAAGAGGAAGTGTCTGTGAAAAAGTCAAAGATTTGTATTATAGAACCATACACTGGTGTTATAGGTGAAATCATGTACTTAGGAAGAAGTGGAGAAAATGCTCGTAAAATTGCATTCTTATTGAAAGCAGTATGTTCCTTAGACCACAGAATAAAGACAATGCTTATCGCTACAAGAATTTGGGCCGAGGTAACTGCTAAATTACTTAATTAGAAATTATTTCAGTTTCCTACTATTGACTTCTACTTTTCTATTAATGTAATGATAGTGAAGCTGAAATAAAGAAGGCAGATCAAATTCTCTGGGTGTTTAAACATTTGTTGTTTTACATTTACTGTTTGATGAGTAAACAGGTGGTTTGTATCTCTTGCAAGTTGTCAAGGAAGAGAACAAAACATTAAGTTTATCTTGTTAGTAGACAAACAAGATGTGAGAATATAATTCTTGGAATGAACCTTTAAAAGTACATGTATGAAACACTAGTTCACCAGTGTACACTAGTAAATATTTATACAAGAGGGTCATTTTGGGGGAATTCCTTAAGAATTGGTAGAATTTTTCAGGGAGCCACCATATGTTGGGATTTAATTTTTTATAGTTTAAGTTTTGATATTAATTAACTTCTGTTGCTTAGATAAGTGATATATAATTATACATATTAAATTTTTGTCATAAAAGTGTATGAGACAGCTACCTATATAAATGCAGATGTATACAAATATTTGTGTAAATTTAAAAAAAAAAAAAAAAAAAAAAATTAAGTGCCTTCCATTTGGAGACGCCAATTTTTTGCTGTAATAATCTTCAAAGGATTTCCTATTTTCTCCTTTTATGAAATAATGATGAATATTCAAATGAAATGTTTCAAATTTGTTTAATGAAAATCAGTAATATTTTATTACATTTATTCTTTGATAGGTAAATGATCTGAGTTATTGTTAATTTTAGACTCAAATGTGAAAAATACTATTGATTTTATATACTTATTTTGGTCTCCAGTACAAAAATGTAAAAATGCATACCAGGTTATAAAGTTATATTTTATTTCTCTAATATTTCTGCTTTTATGTTTCTAGGCCATTATTTATATTTTTATCTGGTAAAGATGTTCAAATAATCTCTCATTCAGATGCTTTATGTAAAAAATTTTATTTTTATTATACTGATTCTTCTTTATTTGAACAAATATACTAGTAAACTGGTAAAACTGTAATATTTTATTTTTCTACTCTATTGATTAAAATTCAACTACTAATTTCCTAATTCATTTTAGGTATGTGTAATTCATGAAGCTGAAGATGGAAAACTTCCTCCTGTAGCATTTAATTTGTTGGTAGTACACTTTCTGCAACACCTCGAACAACCTATTTTACCCATTATTGATATTTCTATGAAAGGCTGGGTAAATATTTTTTTTTCCAATTAAATGGTTTTAATCAGTGATTTTGAAATTATTTCATTCTAAAATTAACTGTATTCTTAGATAATTGACACCTTAAATCAAAGTTCTTTTATTGAGATTTTGTAATTTGTATTAAAATTCTGTCAGAAATATGCATGTTCTTTGGACATTTCCATTTTTATGTATGTTTCAAGTATGATAATTAAGAAATTGTGAAAATAGGCTTCTTACTTTTAAAGAATCATGAACTCCTTCATGAGAATGTGTGCTATGTATAGTGAATAACATGCAGAATATGAATAAAAAAATCATCCAAATGACTTGTACAGTCATTAGGTAATTTTTGGAAGCAGGAGTCGTGAAAAATATGCAACACCTTTGCCGGGAATTAAACCGTGGATCTCTGGAATACACGCTCAGCGTGCAGGCCACTACACCAAAAAGGTGAGAGAAATACCTTATGTACTTCCCCTTTTAAAGGGCGACTGGGGTTTTAGGGGACCCAATCGCCAAATCCTGGGTGAGGAGAATCATTATCCAACATCCTTTTAGCTCAGGCGCCACTGTAGAGTCATTAGGTAATTTTTGGAAGCAGGAGTCATGAAAAATACGCAACGCCTTCGCTGGGAATCAAACTGCATTACTATTATAATAAAATGACCTTGCTTTATAATCTGAATTTAGAAGTCTCAGGAACTAAAAGATGCCTGTATCTTAGAAATTATGAAAAAAGTATGAATTAGAAAATCGTTGAGCATTACCTAATTAAATTAGAAGCAAAATTTTGAAGAAACAGTTATTACTAACAAGAATCACATTTAAAAGTTACTTGAATGACTTTACTGGGCATCCTGTTTACGTGTATATAGTCCAAAATTTTTTCCCTTGAAGATTTGTTACTTCTTTGTTATGAGCTAGCCGCCATATAACTTTTTGATGACATTTAAAATTTGCACATAACAGACTGGGCAGTTTTGGTGACTAAATATAGTGGCTATTTTAACAATAGAATACCGAAGATTTTATGTAATTTATATGTATATGTATCCCTCTCTATATAAATTATAATTAAAGGGGAGTACTCCTATTAAAGTTCTTGTGTTTAAAATTAAATTAAGAAAGCTAATAGAGTAAAAGAATTACAGTTTGAAGTCAAATTCCAATTTACAAATTCGAAATTTTTAAGTAATATTCGAAAAAAATTTAATTAAAAAATAAATTTTAGAAAAATTTTACAAGTATTAAATATTAAAAGTTATATCGGTATGGAAAAATTGCTTTAGCAATGGCCAATAGTAGCGGATGTGCAAAAATTGTTAATGATAATTAAAAGCTATTAAAGATAATTAAAGCCATATAAGAAAATTACTTGAAAATGAACAATTGAAAAGATAATCCTTCCGTACATTTGTTTATTTGTTAATATTTATACAGGGTAATTCTAAATTGTTTTTACAAATTAAGAGGGTCGATAGTACCCAACCAGACAATCCATAATTACCATAGAACATAGGGTAGCATTCCACTCTGAGAGGCAGAAAAGACGAAAGTAGAGTGCATCGACGAAGAACAAGGAGGCTCTCTCCTAAGACTTTCAAGAATTAACCGAATTTGCACTGAGAAGAAGTAGCACTTTGCTCTTAGTTGGCATCGGAGAAAACCAATCACAGCAAACGGTGTCCTTGAAAACGGCACCACATCATGACTTCAAGTATTACCTTGATAACATGGTCCGAAACTTAGTGAATTATAAAGCATGGTGGAAACATGGGAATGCTAAGGCGGAGTACCCGTATGAGGAATTGGCAGATTTTCACTTGCATGAGTACCCGTATGAGGAATTGGCAGATATTCACTTGCATATGGTGAAGCAAAAGGGAATGGAAGCGAAGCACGAAGATTGTACGAACAGTGGTTTCCAACTCGTCGGATTCCAAGTCATCCAACCTTTTCTAGTGTTGATCGAAGACTGCTAGAAACCGTTCTTTTACCAACTCAAAAAGCAACGCAGGAAGTTTGTGAAATGCATGAGCCCCAGAAATGGAAGAGTGAGTTTTGACTAGATTTTAAGCAGTTCCTTCCACAAGTACGTAAGCAGTGGCATACGAAATGGGTATTTATTTCTCAGTCAGTGGTGTAGCATATTTTGCATGAGGAGCACATGCACCTGTTCCACATGCAAAAAGTGCAATTTTTGGACACAGATGGTTATCCCTGCAGGACAGACAACACCACCAAAAATGTTCCGTGAGCATCTGGGCAGGTATTCTAGGTGATTACCTGGTAGGCCGTTGCATCATGCCAGACCGTTTGACCAGAATGCACTGAATTTTTTCTTCAGGGGCACATGAAATCTTTAGTATATGAGACACTTGTGATCCCATCTGAAGATATTGTGACAAGAATCATTGTTGCTGCGGACAAAATTGATGGGACACCAACAATCTTTGAGAGGGTGTCCCAGTCGTTCCTTCACCGATGTCAACTGTCAATGACACATGTGATCGGCTTTCTGAGCACTTTCTCTGAGTTTATCACTAAACAATAAGTTTAATTGTGCAACCTTTGGGTCTTGTTCATTTGCTTTCCCAACACTGTTGTAAGTTCATGTTGTAATTCAAATATTCCTCTTTTCTGCCTCTCAGAGTGGAATGGGACCGACTCTGACTATGGACTTCTATGGTAATTATTGCTCGTCTGGATGGATATTATCATTCCTCTTAATTTGTAAAACCAGTTTAGAATCACCCTGTATGTATGTATGAGAATGCAAGATTTTTTTTCAGGGACTTGAAAGTTACCAAAATTCAAATACTGCTGCAGTTGGTGAGTTATGGCTGGAATTCCTAAAGTATTACAGAACTTTTAATTGGGAAGACAATGTAGTATCAGTTGTTCATAAGCAGCCAGTTTTGAAAAGTTCAAAACCTTGGAAACCCTCTTGGATAGCCATTGAAGGTAATTTAAGTGTAAATGCATATTTATTTTCTGTATTTTTTTAAGGGTTTTTTTTTTTTTTTTTTTTTTTTTTTTTTTGTAATGCAACTTTTCTTAACTATTTGGTACTTCTCAGTTAATGGGAGTCCAGGTTACACACCATATGGCCTAATTTCTGCGCTGTTTGTGTTTGCGTTTTTGTGGAACCTGTGTTGAACTTTCTGGAGTTTGTTTCAAAAACTTCGGGGGGGGAATAAAAGGGGGGTTGTTCAATTGAAGTTCGGCAAAAGGAAATATCGTGGTGACCATCCTGTTGAGGGGCAGTGGATATTTGGAGGTGTGGAAAGAGGATCTAGGAGATTATTTTTAGTGGCTGTGCATTATAGAAGTAGGGATTTGTGATTATTTGTTATTTTATTTATTTCTGAACCATAGTATGAATTTTCTGGATGGTGTGTCTGGCTGTCATATAAATACAATAGTGATTACATGGCGGCATGTTAAAGCCGGTATGAAATTTGTATTTCTGCTGTTCGAAAAAGCATTAATTCATGGTAAGTGCATTTTATTTTATTCTTGTTCTTATTTTGTATAATGTTATGTTCATTGTTTTTTTAGTATGAATTTCTGTCTTTGTTGTTGTTTTTTGAATTGTTTGAAATTTATTTTAGTTATTTTGTTGATTAGTGCATATTGTCTAAAATTGTGCAATTCGTAGATGTTTTTTAAAGTTGGAACAGAATGCTGTATACATGGTATTCTTTGAAATTTATTGTTGTTATGTTAATTTATTAAAGCGAGGTATGCGTAATTCGTAGATTCGTTCGTTGCCTATGTGCATGTTCATTGGACATTCGTAGATTTTTTTTAAGTTAAAACATATCGCTGTGTACATGGACTCTTGTCAAATAATTTTGGTTAGAAACTTTATGGTTTTGTTATCTAAATTTTTTGTTTTTTGTTTCGGATTTTTAGCTTAAATTGTGTGTTCAAAACGTGGTTTTTGCATTCGCGAAAACCATGTTTTTGGAGACATTTTAGGCTTAAAGTTCGAAATGTAGACAAAAAATTTAGATAGCAATGTGGCAGCGTGGGACTTGAGGGCACATATCAGAGTAGTTCCGGAGTCCAGTTTGGCTAAATTAAAGTAAAGGCATAAAATCTAATTGGAGACAAAAGTGGCAACACCAGGAATGTATACAACTTTATGAAAAGTAGGGCTATTTTATTAAATCCAAAATAAATAATAAGAAACTAAGAAAAATATAGACTCCTCTTAATAGTTGTTTAATATTTTATTCCTTTTTGCATTTGATAGAATTCAACCAACAGGAGCTCTTGACACCACACTTAAATAAGCCAAATAGTTGTCAGTAAAGGAATGCAAACTTTTGAATCAGCATACAATCTGTAAACCTTTCATTTCACAACACAGTCTATCATCACAGGGCTGTTTCAGTGCTTTAGTAATAGTAACACACAATTTCATTTTGTGGCTCTTCTGAACATAGTTTTCAACGTGATGGTACATTTTTCTCATTTGTTAATTGTCAAATCTTGTAATCCACACTGATTCTTTAAAAAAGAAATTGAAATCCTGAGGGTAAATTGCTTGACCGATATTTATTCTTTCCAATTATTAACGATGTTGTCATTGCATATTTGGTCTTGTGGTGGCATGAATAGTTATGCATTGTATGCTTTGGTGCAAAGTTTTTGACTTTAAAAACTGAAAGTATGTAGAATTCTTTTATTGTATGCAGAAACATAAATCATAATAAAAATTATGTTACATGACTTCATTTATTGAACAGTAATAGAGATTTTATGTGCACTTAATAAAGAAATTTAGTTTTATTACAGATCCATTTAGTGACAAGAATGTTGCAGATTCAGTTATTAGTTTGGATGTAGCTAATTTCATAAAATCCTGCTTTACCAAATTTTATAATTATTTCTCACTACCTCCTGGTTTGGCAGAAAGCAATTTTGAGAATCCAGAAGGTATGAAACAAAATATTTCTTTTACTAAACCAGATGAAAATATATCTCTACTGATTAATACTCGCATTTTATATGTGTATTTTAATGCTTTTGACTGTATTTATTACATTTGTAATTAATTATACAATCTTTAAATCATTTTCTGTGGAATTTTTTTATTATTTTTGTTTAATTTGAAAAGAGTTGTAGCATATTTTTTATTATGACTTCAGATGGGTTTTTAACTTTCAGTTTTAAAAATTGCATTGTGTTAGTTACATTCTTATAAATTTGAAGTTTCAACTAACATGAAATTCCAAATCATAATTTGCAAATTATCTTATGAACAGTGGAAAAAAAAGAAAGAAGTTATTAAAAAAATTGAATTATTAATGCTTCAGTCATTTTTGAATTGTGCAAACTAACTCAATCTAGGAATTGAATTTTCCCTAAATTACCTAAACTACCAAAACGAGAAATTAGAAGATTAAGAAATGCCTGTCAGAATATAGCCATACTTGTATTAATCTTTTTGAACAAAATTGTATCCACCAGTTATGTTGCCCATAAGTCTGGCAGTCGTCATTGCTCCACTGCAATACTCATCGATTGTCTCTCGCATAGTCTGTTTGAATAAAGTCTTTGTATAAACATAATTGGTTGTTCTACCAGCTAACATTCCATAGGTAGGCTTATTGCCTGACTGATTACTATAATCACACTACCTGACATTGAAAATGCAACATCAAGAAGGAGTGGCTGGAAAATTATGCAAATTTCAGGGTTGGTGCATGTTACTGAGTTATGCGAATGGTGTGACATGCACAGCACTCCAGTGCATGTTGAAGAAGATGTAAAGGAGGGAACCTGCAGAATGTTCAGTTTTCATACCGTTATTTCTCCTAGGGGAATCATCACAGAAAATTTGTTCTTGCCTCAGAGAACATGTCTAATAGCAGAGAATGCCATACCATCATCAACAGAGGCAGTTCTAGCAAACAAATGATTCTACGAGGGGCATGGTGATCAGACTCAGAAGGACAAGTTGGTCCATATGACAAATCTCAGCTGACAGACACCTCGGTGCATCCGCAGTACACCAGCTGTGGCGACAATTGTTGGAACAAGGATAAGTGGCAAGTTCGAGGGGTGCCAGTGCAGAATCAGCATGTGTGGATCAACGCATTTGCAAGCCACTTCTACCTACCACTTCTGCAACATGTTTAAGACACCCTGGATGTTCTCATATCGACCAGAACCATTTGCCATCGATTGGCGGCTAGCAGCCTACACTCGTGGCATCCATTCAGAAGACTACCATTAACCCCACATCATAGATGGCTGCATCTGCAATGGTACCTGGTTCGAGCAATGTAGACAATACAATGGCACTGGGTCAAGTCCTCAGATGAGTCGCACTTCTCTTTCTCCAATAATAGACGCCTCGTACGAGTGTGGCCTCGATCTGGAGTCAGGTCCAACCTGGCAGCAATTTTGGAACACACCACTGTGCAACAACACAGCATCATGGTTTGGGGCACAACTGTGTATGATTCAAGGTCACCTCTAGTTTGTATTCAGGACACTATGATGGCCCAATGCTACATGAATGATGTGCTGCGGCCAGTGACACTACCGTACCTTCAGGGAGTGCCCATTGCCATTTATCAGCAGGATAATGCCTGACCACACACTGCTTGCATCAGCCAGTGTGCAGTGCAAGGTGTACAGATGCTTTCTTGAACACCATTCTCTTCTGATCTCTCGCCAATCGAACACACTTGGGATGTGATGGGACACTTATTTGCAGACCCTTCCCTTGCCGCATTCAGAAGATGAATTGTGGCAAATGGTTGACAGGGAACGGAGAGCCATTTCTCAAGACACCATCCATAGTCTCATTGACATGTTGCTTAGGGTATCGCCATCCAAGTTGGTCCTACAACCTATTGAGCCGATACTGTTCTCGCTTAGTATTACGTATATTATTTCGAAATAAAGGTCACTTATTGTTCATTGCTGTTTCTCTCTGTATGCTGAGTTTCATCACTTTTTGGCCATTTGCCTATTTTTATGATTTCGATCTTTACTATGATTCTTCTTTCTGTTAGCCCTCACTGGGATGCAAATAATATTAAAGAGTATTTAAAGTGAGGGTTTTGAATGTTTTAGAAATAGAACTTTTGGCAGCTGTGCCTGCAGTTTTATTTCTACCATCCAGCTCTGCCAACTAATATTCCAGCATTTGCTATTTAGTAGCTGACATTAAAATATGCCATTAAAGTTTTGAGCCAGCTTACATAGGCCACATTTTTGTAATCTCCAGTGATTATGCTTCTACAAGGTAACCAAAAGGTTCTTGCCAGTTTGGACAGTTAGGAAATATAAAAACTCATAAAACAAATAATAATCACTGCTAATCCTCAAAGTAATCACCATTGGCATCCAGTTCTTTTTGTCAACAATGCCATCGCGGTAAAACTCAGGAGTCATGGATGCAAAGAAGTCCATGAGACCCTTTTCGGGGTCTGGCCAGTTGTTGAAGGATTACTCATGAAGATGGTTGTCCAGGGAATAGAAAAGGTAATATTCTGTTGGCGTGAGGCCTGGGGAGTGTGGTGGATGGGGTAGTGTCTCAAAGACCAGTCGCTGGATGGTGTACCTCGCCTCCCGAGCCACAAGTCGCCTCGCATTGTCATAGAGGAGGAGTGCACCCTCACAATCGACCAATGGTTGCTCTTTATGCATCAGGCCATGATGATTTGGCCCAATGGCAGGAGCTCATAGTGCACCACTTGGCGACTAGTCCACCAGATACAGAGCATGGTCTTGTATGGGTGGAGAGAAGGTCTTGCAGTTTGAGGCGCAGGGTCCCGTGGCGATAAACCAATGTCTGGAACACCTGGGTGTGTCATATTTGACCCAATTTTCATCACTGGTGAGTATTCGATCAAATATGGATGCATTGCAGTGCAGAGTAAGCAATGCAAAGAAGCAGCGACATGCTGTTGCTTGTTTGCATTGGACAGTGTGCAGGGTTACCCACTTGCTCAGCTTGTATGCCATTCCTATGCGCTGCAAAGGGAGTCTGATCATTTTATCAGATACCTGAAAGCTCACCTCATGTTTGGCTACTGTCACTCTCTATGGCTGCTCTCAGGGCCTCATCGACCAGCACTTGGAGCCGGCCACTGCATCACTGAGAGACATATCCCCTAACCTGAACTTCTGTAGCCATTGCCTAATGGTTCATTCGTTAACGGCATCATCCCCAAAGGTCTGGCAAATTTGCCCACTAGATTCTGCTGCTGACAAGGCCCACTTTAAAATCATAGAGCAAACAACTCTGAATGAGCGCCTTTGACACGTCCATTTCAATCAGTTTCTGTGTGAGTTATGTTTGAAGTACCAATGCAAAACTCTTTTATACTCTTGGTCAATGTCTGGACTCCCATCCTAAGCACTTCATCACCAGGTTTGGCGTTTTTATGCTGAGGTTCACTCTTCCAGTGTCATATCAGAAATGGCAAGAACTTTTTTGGTTACCTTTGTAAATTCAGATTTATGCTACTTTTACTACCTGCAACTATCAGAGTTTTGGTTTTATGCATAAGTGATGACTTTTTGTTAAAGTTAAAAGATTATTTAAAACCCTCATAGGATTTTTAGCCCAAAACTCAGAAGGGCTATTAATTTTGTTTTGGCATTTTGCATTGATTTACTTTCTGTGTTGATTCACTTTTCAAACTGTTGCCACCAAATATTATTGCCCTGTGTTATATTTAAAGAAAAAGTAAATGTAGAATTTGCATAAATGTATGTATGTTTCTAGCATTGTGATAAAACAACGGCATCTACAGCCATCAAATTTTAAATAACGTAATCTTCCACTGAATATGGGCATCTGAAAGCCCTAATTTAGAATTTGTTTTATTATCGATTTCATATTTTGTAACACTTAATGAATTTTGGATTAACAAACTCAAAGTGAGCAATGGCAACACTGTATGGTGGGGGGGGGCGGAAACACTTTTATCTCCAACGCGTGAGACTGTATATCAGAAATTCTAAAGATATGCTCATTTTAAAATTATTATTTTTTGATATTGCTGTTGAATCGAAATTTATGGTTTAAGTGCAAAGAACATGATATTTAACAAATAAAGGTAACACAGAAAATGTTTAAAAAAATGCCCCTTTGGGGCATGTAAAATCTGAAAGCTTTCAGTTTTTTTTTATTATTATATTTATTTTGCAGTTGAATTGGTAAGTAAAGTAACAGAGAAATTCAAACAACTGTTGATGATATCTGACATGTCCAAGCGAGCATAGCCGAACAGCCAAAGGCTGCTTTTCAATTATCATTGATTGGCTAGACTCTTGTCACAGTGACAACCATTTTTTGTATTTATTTTTAGACCAGGAATTCCCAACCTTTTTCCTACATCGATCTTTTTTAATATGTATGTTTTCTTCATCGATCTCTTACATATATTTCTGCACAGTATGTAGCATACAGCATAATCATAATGCAAAATATTGTGCCTACATAAAATAAAGACCACAATTAGACTAAATATGAACAAAAGTTTTGAAAAACTGGTTTGTTAGGCTTATGTTTTATTATTTTTTGTATTCATATTATTTTTAACTTTACAAATATAAACAAATAACCAGATGCAAAATCATAGATTCTTATTGCTCCAAAGTTTAATTTTAATTAATGTTACAGCTTTATTTGATGTAATGATGCAATTTTTTCCAACATTTAGCATAAAATTGCTAAGCACAATTTTTAAATCACTTCATTTGGAAGCATTCAACTTGTTTCTTATTTTCCATAGAAAGTTACTGACTTGATTAAAGCCTGTTTACACTGGATAAGATGATGATTTAATTTGATTATGGCAAAGCACACTAGGGCTATCTGCCTGAGAGTTGCCTCCACGTAAAGCATTTTTAGGGAAATTGGTTCGCATCCACTGTACACTTGGGAAAAAACACCAAAATACTTATGTGGCCAGTCCAACTAGCAGTGCTCAGTGACTTTACTTTTCAGCCATGGAGGTAAGAAAAGGAGGGGCCAAACCGGCACTGCAAGTGAAGCACTGCTCTGAGGCTTCAGTCTCCAGATGGGCTGTTTTTTGTTTACATACAGAAGCTCCCTTGACAGCGCTTCAATAGTATTTTGACACACAACAGTTCCATACAAATCAAAAAATGGGACACTTCCGCATAAAAGAAACATTCGTAGTGTGATGGATAAAAGCAATTTGTATAGTTTAGTGGCATTTACTCAAAAATCAAATCTTAGTTATTTTTTGATAACTAACAGCAATTTGTATTATGAATTTGTTTTATAAAATTCTGAGCTGTTAAACTGCAAAAATGTAGATTTCAGCAAAAATGTTATGCTTAAAAAATGAAAAATACCTTACGGTGCCTTTAAAATTGTATACGTCTTTCGATACCCTTGATAGAGTATTAGCTACTTTTATTTTATGTTTAAAACGCCAAAATGTTTTAAAAGAAAATTTTTTTTTTCATCCGGATATTATTGTAACATGTACTTTTTAAAAATTTTTAGAAGAGAGGCTTTATAGTTGCTCATTTTAAACTCATCATTTTATTTTTATATAACTGAAAAATAATCGCTTTGGGCTTACATGCTTTACTTATTTGGATTAATTAAAAAATAAAATTACCACCAAATGCTTCTATCCTTGTCAAGATTAATAAATATACACACGGATATGCGAATAAGTTAACTTTTCCTTGATTTGTAACCACTGTTTGGAACAGAAGATGGATACATTTGCGAATCCGACAGATGAAGCAATATTATGCAGAGTAAAGCAATCAAGATTGCAATCTGATGACAATGCAATGTTTAAATGAGAGTAGGGTATTTATTATATTATCAGAGAAATATTAAAGTGTGTAAAATAGTTAAAAGAGGTATCGAGTGCCCTGCCAAAATATATTTGCTAGATGATTTGAATTTGATAATGAAATGTATCCTAAAATGTGTTTGAAGTCAAAAGTTTGAAACTTGATGGCTAAATGTAAGTATAAAATTATGCATGTTAAAATAATTGTAATTAGGCACATAGGTCAGGTTAAGTTTTTATCAAATAGAGTAAGTTGTAATTAGGCACATAAGTTTTTTATTAAATAGAGTAAGGCGTGCAAGAGCTGTATGCCTAAAAGGAGTTATGTCATCGTGGAGGAATTTCGATAAAAAAACTGTTCTTTGAGTGGGTATTAAAAATAATGCATGTAATTTTCATGCAAATTCTATTTACAGATTTCTTATGTAAAACTTTTGGGTGTATGCTAATTATTGTAAATTACTTTACTCAAAAAATATAGTGAATGCACAGATATTAAAAGTTTTCATATGCTGAAAATGAAAAATATGAAATATGTGTGGATATTTATGCATATGCTTGCAAAAAGCATTTATCTGCCTTTAAAAAAATATGTAAATATTTATTAAATTATTTATAAATGTATTTGAAATGAAGGATTTATTCATTCATAAACTCCTGTGAAAGTTACTGTGAAAAAATCTAATTATTAAATGTATGTAAATTTATAATGATTCTATGAGATGTGTACTTAAGGAAGTAATACAGAAGAGTTTTAGAATATGTATTGTTGAAATTAACCTTTTAACTGTTATGCCTGAAATAATCTCGTGCACAGCACAGGTATTCCATCGCGAAGCAAATATTTCATTTTTGGAATAAACAAAATTGACGATTTATGCACTCAAATCATCAAAATAACTTGACAGTTAAAGGGTTAAGAGTAAAAAATCTGATAAGTATAATTAAAAGAATTATTCCCTTACATTTTATAGTAACTCAGTTACAAGATTTAAATATTTTTTAAAAAATCCCTTTTTCCCCCCTTTTAGAAATATTCAGAGAAGTTGAGTTATTATTAAATGAGTTATTATTATTCAATATATTTTGCTATTAAAATAAAAGGTGCTCTGATTTGAAATAGATCGAATACATCATTAATTATAAATTGACTTGGATTTTTCAATTTAAAAATTGCCTCAGAAGCTGAAAAATTCATTTCATATTTGAGACAGTATTTTAGGAAGAAGCTCTATAAATAGAAAAGAAATAATGCATAATTTTAATATTAATAATACAGTAAACTTTGATCTTAGTTTTCGTAATCCGTAACCAAATAATATCGAATTACCTTAAAAATTTTTTCCAATGTAATTAACGAAAACTTGTGAAAATATTTCATTCAGATTAAACTGTTCTGTAAAAAGTATAGCATTTAATTCCGTTCAGAATGAAATGCTATTTAAAAAATGTATTCTTTTCATATACTTAGGATTCTGAAAAATTGTCGAAAAAGAAAATACATATGTATATTTATGACGTAATTACAAAATATTTACATCCAATCGTGTCAAAACCCATTGATCTTAATGGTAAATCATCCAATGTTATGGTCACCACAAAGGGACCACCAGTGCTTCAAAGCAGTATATGGAGGAAACCGGTTAGGGCCACTCCATCTTACTTTCTACCTCAATGTTCTCAGCCGATGGTGGGTGGGGTAAGAGGAGGAAAATGTCAATATTGTTGGTCTGGTAATAACTTTAATTTGGGGAAGATTTCTCTCGGATGACTTTTAAATCCCAAAACTTTGCGTACCCGTGTGTTTTGAATAAGACTTGACATATTTGCATGATCAAGATTTATATCAATAAAACACAAATTATAAATTTTATTAATATATTTTTGTAATCAATGGGATATTTGGCTATCAACCCCCAGCTAACCCCTTGACCATCATAGACCTTCTTTAAAATTTCATCGACCCCCCCCTCCCCCAAAGTGTCCAACCGATCCTATTGGGAACCACTGCTATAGATAAAGCAATAACTTGCTTGTCAGTTTACTATTGTCTGATGAACATTTTATTAATATTACATGGTAAAGATCTTACAGGTGTGCTATGCATGCATATATGTATTCTGGCACGAAACATATAACTTTCTCTCATCATTAACCATAATGTGAAGTTTGCCTTCTGAATGAAAATTAGTCAGATTCAAAGGATAAGGGATTAATTTTAATTTTAAAAATATTTTCTCCTAGCTCACAACAAAAACCTGCATATTTTAGAAATTTCTAGGAGTCTATGGACTTAATTCAGCCTCACTGTTTATCTTACTCAGTTTCACAACTTGTTATTTATCTTGCTTCACTTGTTATTTAAACTTGTTATTTATCCACCTTCAGCTATTGAAGATATTAGGAAAAAAAAAAAAAAAAACTTTCATTTTGGGTTACAATGGAATATGATCTATTCATCCATTTGCTTTTTTGCAGGGAACATACCTATTTTTGCATTGTTATAATAATATTAATAATAATATAATAGGAATTTGTTGTGGCATTTAAGAAGAAAGGGGAAAAAAGTAAATGCCTGACTATCTGTCAGTAACTTTGAAATAGCAGATCAGAAAATTTGCATTAGTAGCCTCTTTTTTTTTTTTTTTTTTTTTTTTTTTTTTTTAATTTTTTGTAATTAGTGATGTTTTTTCCCCCTTCCCTTCCAAACTGTGGATACATTTTAATATATCTGTGACCAATTAAAGGTAGATTTATGCAGTTTGTGTTTTAATATATCACTTAAAAATTAGTGTATCATTTCTTCAAGCTATGTTATTCTTAATTTTCTCTTACAGGACCCCCCCCCCATATTATTAGAATATTTTTTTAACATTCGCTATTTTTAATTAAAATACCTTTCAGTGTTTATATTTGATTTGTAGGTCATATGAAGCAAGAATGCAAAAAAAGACGATACTCATTTAGCTCATGTGAACTACAAGTATGTTTTTTTTCTCCCTGAATTATTTAAAATTGTTCTAATGCATAAATTGTGTATTTTAAATTTTATTGCTGTGTTAGAACAATCAGCTATTATGTTAACTGAGAATGACATTGTTTTATAAAAACATTTTTGTTTTGGCTGTATCTTCTTGCAATAAAATAAATAAGCTTATCTTACATTAATATACTTAGCTTTGTTTAGAATATGTTGTTTCAATATTTTTTGCTATGCCATTAAATAAAAAAAAATATACAAGTAGAAAGTTTTTTTAATAATGTAATAGTTTTGTATAATATAACAGCAATAGTTATGCAGCAGTATTTTTCCTTATTTTTGTACTTATAGAAGAAAAAGAGTAGAGCTTTTTTGGGATCTGAAATATACTGCTCATCAAAATTAAAGGATAAACTAAAAAATTATGCTTACTGATTAAGGTTTAAAGCTAACATCCAATAGTATAATTATTTACATTAATTATCCATAACTAAATACAAAATTTAACTTCGGCTTCTGTACATATGTTAGCACATGAAATATTCGAATTATATGATTGACAGCATGCTGCATAATAAAAACTTATAAGTGACAAAATGTGCTTCTAGAACTGTTTTCAGATGAATTGCCTTCGTAGAAATAATTTGTATATCTCCCCAGGGGCGTAGCTAGAGGGGGGCAAGGGGGGACATCTGTCTCCGGGCGCAGCATCCAAGGGGCGCCAGATTGATATTACAAAATTTTAGAATTAAATGTTTTCCATCCTTGGCAAGCAGTAGGTGCGCGAAATCTTCAGCTGTCCCTGGGCGCTGAAAACCCTAGCTACAACTCTGTATCTACCATGGAATAATGGTGACCTCAGAGATAAATAAAATTGATTTGGAATTTTTTTTTTTGTTGCTCAGAAAGTGTGCTTATTTATTTTATTTGCATTTGCTTTATAGTGAACATGTAGCAATAAATAAATAAATATCTTACTTTGATTACTTTAAAACTTTTATCACACTCTTTAAGATTTATATGAAACAACAGCTGGTTCTTATAGAAGGTCTTTTACTCAAGCAGTTCTTTTTTACTTCCTTGTACGAAGTAAAAAGGAAGTATTGTAATCATGAAAAATTTAAGGTATCATATTTCATCGAAAATATCCATTTGACCGCTATTTAATGCAATTCAACAATGTTTTCCCGTTACATCTGTACATAAGGACAGAATAAAGGACTTCCCCCCCCAAAAAAAATTATAAAACTCTTTTAAAATGAATTCTGAAGAGTTTTTTTCGTGGCGTCTGTACATGTGTATGTATGTGTCTCAAATAACTCAAAAACGAGTAGGCTCAGAACATTGAAGTTTTGTATATGTGACTTCTATAATATATAGATGTGCACCTCCCATTTCGGTTGCAATCGGCCGCACCGAAAGTGTATAAATATAAACATATATATCCACTCTGTTACTTGGCTCAGTGAGCTCAGTTTCTTTATTCTTATATGTTTCTAAATTGTGCATTTTGGGCTTTAAAAATGACTGAATTATGTTCTTATCTTCCGGTTAAGGTTTTTATGTCTTTACTTAACCTGCATGGAATAAATTCTGGAATTATCAACAGTATGAAAGCATAGCATAATATGAAGTTATTGCCATTTCAGTAATGTGAAGTAATTTCAAGAATGTTTAATTATTTTATTTAACTTATGGCAAACTATACGAGGGCTATCTCTCAGAGTCGTAGCTAGGGTTTTTAGCGCCCAGGGACAACTGAAGGTTTCGCACCCCCTACTGCTTGCCAAGGATGGAAAGCATTTAATTCTAAAATGTTGTAACATCAGTTTGGCACCCCTTGGATTCTGCACCCGGGGACAGATGCCCCCCTCTAGCTACGCCGCTGGAGACAACTGATGAATTTCTGGCAGAATGTGTCGCAGGATGACATTAGGAACCTCTACCACTTTTTGCCTCAACGAATTCAAGCATGCATTGCCGCCAGGGACTTTGACCAACTACTAATTTAAACACGCAATGGGTGATTGTGAGCCATGAACAGTACTATGATCTTGATTTTTTTAATCATTTTATTATCTATGTATGAGATATACACATATTCAATTTCATCAAAAACAACCACTTCCTTCATGGTGTTTCGATTTTTTTGCAAAAGAGTGTACCTAACTATACTGCACTAAATTTTGTATTACATTTTTTAACTTTTGCTAGAGACATGTTAACCTATTAGTTATTGGATTAGAGAAGAAATAATAATATAAATTTAATACATAATTTATATTATTTTTTCTATTTAGATAAGTTCTAGAGTTCCTAGATCTTATCTGTCATTTTTTCTTTCTGTTTCCCTGCCAGAATGCAAATTGACACGCATGTACTTAAGATGAATTCTTTAGATTATAAGAGAGAGCATGTTCAGCCTCTGGAAGACACATTACCAGGTTGCTAGTTTAGATAAGATTTGTTGTCTTCGGCCTTCCATGGTAATCGCCAATATTGAATCTCCTCTCTGTTTCATTTTTTTAATTTTCTTAAGGTATGATGCTGAGGAAATCATGAATAGGAGAGGAAAGCTTCAATACATGAAAGTGCTTCTAAAGTAACGAAAAAATTAAGGTACATAACATTTGTGCAGATAAACTGTCCTGTAGAATGAAATAAAAACAAGAGCATACAGCTCTCCTGCTTTGTATCCAATTGAAGTTTTAGTGTAGGTAACACTGGATCCATCGTCTTTTAAGTTTAAACATACAAATGTAGTTCAGCAGCACATTCAAGGCCCCCTAATCCTTTGGGTCCCGATGAGACGGCATTCTTTGTATACCCTTATTTATACCGCTTTTTTTATCACTTTTTAAAATTTATTCTTCTTTATATGAAGCAACAGGTATTAAGAACAAAGGCAGTCATTTCATTTCAATAAATGCTATTATTATGATGTTGTGGAACAATAATTCTTTGCTCTTAAAATAGTTTCTAAACTGAGGAAAATTTCCATATGAGCAGCTTATTTTCTACTAAGAAATTTTTTCCTAAATATGTAAGTATACATTTGTATGATGTGATTATAAAAATCACCAAACGAAAGTCTTTCTATTCTAAGAAACAGGGTTACACTACCTAGAAAACTGGATCAAGTCAGGGAATTCGAAAATTGACCATCAGGGAATTTAAATATTTTAGTCAAAGTCTGAAAAAGTGAGGGAATTTCATACAGCGATTCCCCAAAAAAATTTCCGTGCCAATATTCAAAGTGATTCCTTTCTTGGTGAATTATGCACTGCATGAACATCATTCAGGCATCTGGCGCTGAGCGAATTTTCTGAGTGTGTTAAAAAGGGAATTTATTTGGACTTAACTAATTTTGTGATACAGCTGATGATTGCTGAAGAGAATGGTGGTTTAATATGCAAGTATTGTATAGCAGATTTTCTTAGTTTGAGAAAAACATAAATCAATGTTATTGAGGAAAACAGTATCTATTATATTTATAATACTCATGCTTTGTGAATTATATAAGTAATATGTTACTGTCAGACTTTTTTGTGTTTTGAGGTGGTTTCATAATTAATTTACCCTGAGCACATCCAATGCATGGAATTTTCTTAAAACACACCTGGAAATGTCAGGGAATTTCTTTCTTCTGTTTGATTGGCAACCCTGTAAAAAGATATAGATCCCCCTCTGGAAATGCTGCAAATGAAAGTATAAGAAAAAATAGTTGAAAAGACAGATTTATTCAATTTCCCATCTAGTATTTGAAACCCATGATGCAAGATAGAATCAAAATGAAAGAATATCCAAATTTTAATATAGGATTATGTTCCTTTATAAAGCAAAAATGTGCATGAATGCTTGTGTCTTCGAAACTACAAATGTTACAATCAATATAAATACATCATTAAATAGATGAAAAAATACATTAGCAAATACAAAAAACATTTTAAAAATTGGACAAAGGAAATGCACATAGAGACATGCCAAAAATAATGAATCAACAAACTAGTGTGGCGATTTATAGAAATTTGATGAGTGTAGCAGCAGTGTTATGATTGATGTAACTCTTAATGGACAGGCACGATTTATTCTAGCATCCATATGTATTCATCCAGCCATTAGTAGGTTTGAAGTTGTTCTTGTTTAGTGCATTGATGAAATATTCTGAAACTACTTTATTGATCAATGAGAGTTTACTGTATATACAGGTGTCTTTATTTATTATGATGGGAGATTTCAGTATAGGTGTCAAATGAAATGAAAAGGCATTTGATTTTATGAAACATCATTTTTATCTCATTATGGTGCCAAGCAATATTCAAGTACACTTGGCAATTCATTTATAGATTTAACATTTACTAGGAATATAACTGAAGACATCTTAAATTATTTATCTTATTTCTCGTATCATCAATCATAGGATCATTTTGAATGAATAAATATAATAAATAAAAAATAAAATATGTGTCTGTAAACTCAAGTTTGTTTTATTTGTTCTATAATATCCTCTCACTTCTATTAGTAATCCTATGCATTAAACACCAGCAGCTGTTTAAACTAAAAGAGAGAGTTTACTATCGATTTTTTTTTAGGCATGCCTGAAGAAATGAATATCTATTAAAATTAAGCAAGTTGTGTAAATGGTTTAACTTACAGCACCAATGAATACTGTGCAGCAATACAATGTGCATCTGAAGTAGAATGTGAAAGGGCAGATGGGGCAAGTTAATGATCATTTATAACTACACTGACTTTGATGCATGACATTATAACAAAAGATACCTTAAGATGTACTCAGCGATACGAACAGTTTTGAGACTTTGAGAAGGGTTCCATTATAGAACTGAAAGAGGCCAGTTGATCAAACAGGCCAATCGGCTTACACATTGGTGGAAGCAATTGTCCATGGTTGAAATTAGTGTCTCAGTGAAGGCATAGTCAGCCACCCGGGCCACCAGTACACAAGATGATCGCATAGTTAGAAGAGCTGCCATATCCATACCACTTTGTCATCAGTTCAACTCCATCTGCCAGCTTGCAGGGGTTCAGGGATACAGTTCGTAGAAGACTAAGTGATGCTGGTCGCGGATCTCAATGTCTATTAAGACACTCGTCGTTGACACTTAGCAGTATTGTCTTGCATGGTTCACTCTCATTTAAGCTGGACGGTATCTGCTGGAGAAATGTGATCTTCAGCGACAAATAATGCTTTTTCTCAATGTTGATGACTACCGCATGTGTCTAGAGATGGGGAGGTTAGCGTACAAATGTACCTTACCAAGTGGCACACAGCCAGAACACAAGGTGTAATAGTTTAGGCAGCAATCAAGTGGGAAGCCGTTCACTATTAGTACAGTATTAGCGAAGTACAGTATATGACAGTTTGCAGGTATGTTGACGGCATTTTGCAGCCAGTCATACTGCCTATGCTAGCAGTTCATCCAAGTTCTGTTTTCCAGTAGGACAACACTCGACCACATACAGCATGACTTTCCCAAAGGTACCTTCAGTGTTTTAATGTCCTCAACTGGCGTTCCAGGTCTCCAGATGTATTGCCTATCAAACATGTTTAGGACATGTTGGGCAGGCAAATTCAGCCATTTACAAATACATCCCAACTCACTGACCAGTTGTTCCATTTGTGGTACAGTATACTGCTCAGGGACATTAGCAACTTAATAGTCTCCATACCCAATCACGTATCGTCTTGTATAGCTTCAAGGGGAGGCTTTACTGTCTACTGATTTTCACATTCTTTGTATTGCCTCTTATAAGTAAAACACTTTTTTTGCCCCAGTTTTTGATTGTTTATCCACTTGAACACTAAACTACTGCCAAGTTTCATAGTTGGCTCAATTCTTTCTGGGTGCATATATCCTTTTGCAACAGAGTGCATTTTCATATGTTGTTGTAAGTGTGTTTCAATTATTTTATATAGTTTTTAATTAAAAATTTTACTGTATATATTTTATATATATGCATATTATGATGTGATTTCAAACAGTGGATCATAAAGAATAATGATTTTATATATAATTTATTTGGGGATGCTCTTTCTTTAATAACAATTTAAGTACTTAATAAAGCATTTGTATTAGTAAGTTTCTAAATGATTAACTCTTAATTTATGATTATTTTTAGAAACTTCTTTTTTAGGATATTCCAATGTGTGAAAGATGTGAAGAATTTGGGATAACATGTGAGGTTTGCATTCTTATTTTTTATTTTTTATATACAATAGAAAAATGTCAAAAATATCAAATTTCTACTGAACATTAATCATAGATTTTAATTATTAACTGTATTAATATGTGTCAGATGACATAGAAATAAAGGTGCATGTGAAAACTCTTGTTTCCATCTCCCACTTGCAGGAGCTGGATTGTCATCTACCAGTTGCAAAAAGATGTATATGTAAGATAAAAAAATATATAAATATGAGTTATAATTTAAATTAACAATATGCCCTTAATGCCTGATTTTAATTTGTCAGTCTGTTCTGAAAACAGTGATAACTTTTTCTGAACTGGACCATTTCGAGACGAATCCATGTCATATGATTCTTACACAAAGCTGGTGACATAAACGGAACTAAAACAGCCAATAATAATTTTATGGCATTTTTAATTATCCAGCCAAATGCATTGAAACCAAAAATAACTCATTCTGAATTAAGATTTCATCCTGAACACAAAGTACTTGCTTTTTGCACCTCAGGCCTAGATACACTGTTGCATGCTGCTTTCCCTTCTTCCCCAAAACATTATAAAAAATGTAATTGTTCTGAAACAAGCATGAATTATGTATCCAAGTATTTGTGGCTGCAAGCATTTACTGAAATAAAAAGGAATATTTAATCGCTCTCAGCTGCCAAGTTTGCTCTTCATTATGGATCAACATTCTAAGCCGTTAATATTTTTACACAATATTTCATATATATAGAGAGAGAGAAATACGAATAATTTTTAAAAGGAAAATCTATAATACTTCCAAGAATTTCCATGCATTATGCCACTGAAAATTGGTCAGTAAATATATAAAGAAATTTATAACCAATTTTTCACAAAGACTAAAAATTGAAATTCATAAAATCATATAAATGTAGAATAAGAATATTTTAAAGTGTTTAGGAAAGTAAAAATTAAAATAAACCATCACAAGATAAACCAAAAAAGAATATAAAAGAACAAGAATGAAGAGGAATCAATCAACTTCGGCATAACGTCGTCAGGAGGAGGTATGTCGAATTTAACTACAGTTCCCTTTCCAAAACAAAAACCTTTCTTTTCTGTATCCTGAATTAGCTGATGAACCATTTCAGTATATTATTTAATCTTAAAAATTCACCCCAAAATTCTGGTCCTCCTCAAAGTGACGAAAAATGGCAAAAATACAAAGTTAAATCATTAAAAATATCTTCCAATGTATAAAGACTTTTCTAATCTAAAAGGAATCTTTAGTAAAAAATTAAAACTTACCCTTAAAATATATCTCCTCTTTCTATATAAAATATAGAATATCTCTTTGAAGTTTCAAAATAATCTTAACACAAAACTTTGTGAGAACCTGTAATCAAACACCAGTGTGAAACAATGAAAAAAACCATTAGAAATTCTGCTAGAATCTGGAATGCCAAGTGTTGCCAGTTCACTTTTTTGGTGAAACTAAAAACCATAGTTGAACTAGTCATCTTGCAAAAGATGAATTAATGCTGCAAAAAATTTTGAAATTCAATGAAAACTTTTTATTCAAATTGCACTTTGAAAAGTCAATAAAACCAAAGACTTATTCCTAAGTTTAAAAAAAATTCAACACTTCCAAATTAAAACCCAAATTTAAAACATTACAATTAAAATGTTGAAAAAATTATAATTAAAAAAATCTGAAAGGATTCAGATTTTAAATTATGTCCAAAGGTGCTTTTTTTTTAATGTTTTATGTGTTACCTTTATTAAATATCATGTTCTATGTACTCAAACCCTAAAATTCAATTCAACAGCAATATTGCAAAATAATTGAAGTTCAAAAATTATTTATTCTACTCTGATTGAAGATGTTGGAACCTTTTCTATTAGGTCATGTGCATTCCTCCTGTCAATCAAAAAAATTGAAGATGAGGAACTCAATAAATCTGCAGGAAAAGTTTATTTAAAGTTAAGAAAAGCTTGTGTTAAAATGCTTATTTCTAAGCATATCAGTATGCTGAAATCAATTTCAATGTTTCAGTATTTTCAAGTATTTAGAAAGATTGATAAATTCTGTATGAACTGAACTTGAAAAACTAAGAACTAACATTCAATACAGTTATGTAATTGATGACTAAATAGAAAAGAATTATTTTTCACCTCAAATTATTATGGGCAGTTGACTTCAATTAATTTTGTATATCCAGTCCTGTGAGCAGAGTCAGCTATGAGGTCTCCTTGTTTAAGGCTGCACTTTTCATGCGGTGGGAAAAAAAGTTCAGCAGAAATAGGCCTCATTTAGGAACTTGAATAAATGTTAGCTTGAAGTCTTGTTGTCTTTAAGCCAATGCATCTTACAGAGGCAGGCCTCTGGAAGAGGCAAATTTTCTAGGTGGAATTTTCAAATTTACTATTGATGCACTGCAGTGCACTGAATCTGTCTGGCAGAATCATATAGGAACCTAGTTTCTGATAATTTGCCCCCATAGTTAAGATCTTTGAGTATAAATCTCAGTGGCGACAATAAATACTCAACAAGCAATTATGACCAATTTAAAATATATTTATAATAACCCTTGAAATGCTTAAGTCATAGAATAATCAAGATCAGCTATCAGATTCCAAATCCAGTACTGATATAAAAAAATTTTGTAGTGTACCTTATGACATATCATCGTATGTACTGTGGATAGCTGAATTTTTATTTGAGTATTATTATAATTCTTATTGCTTATAGCATTTAAAATGTTGGAGGAATGCGTTGATGCAGAAGAGGGTATATATATATATATATGTATTTGAGGAAGCTTTAATCCTAGTATATATATCACCATATTTTCTGAGGAGTTGTCCTTTGGGACATGGAATGTGATACTTCCTGTAGTGAAAAGAAATGTGTTATCTCTACTTTTGAAGATATATATATATATTTGTACTTTATGTACTGTACTAAACTCATTAGCATATCAGCCATTCCAATCATTTAAAAAAAAAAAAAAAACATAATAGAAGGAGAATTTTTTCAAGTCAAAACATCCTTAAAGCTTAAAATAAATAAATAAAATAAGGATATTTCTTAACTTCCTGATAGACGTGGCAGATTCATAAAAAACGGGGAGTTTATTTTGAATGCTAAACTCATATTAATTTTTAATAAATAAATCTATAATTTTATTAAAAAATTGGCACTTTCTTAATCTGTGTACCATACATATAATTATGAAATCTTACTTTTTTATTGCTCATAGAAATCCCACCTTTTTTCATTCATAGAAGTATCTTAATTTTTAATCCAGTGTTTAATATTGCTAAATGTTACTTATTTTTGTTATGATGAAATATTTGTATTTATGTAATATTATAATAGCAGGAAATTTTTAATTATTTTAAATTAGTTATTAAAAATCTGCTCATTAATGCATATGCTTTATGTAGGATTGTTTAATATCACCCTCAAAAGTTGTACAAGAATTACCAGATCTGAGTTCTTCATCAATGGAAAAAGTAGATCAGGTTTTACAAGAAATTTGCAGTTAAGTTCCTTCAAATTTGTTTTGTCCTTCGGTTAACTACTGTCTAATAGTTCATGCCGTTATATTCTAATAAAATTTTGATTGTATGTTTATTCATTTGCTTAAGTTTTGATTTTAAGCAGTTGAAAAGCCAGTAGTTTTTTCCCAACTAAGAGGGATAATCTAAAATATGTACTTGGTAAAGCAGCTTATCATGCTGCCAAACGAACTGAACTGAGTTAATATTGCAAATCTATTAGCTTAAATACAGTTGCGTTTAATTATGTTTTTTAGCTCATAAAATATGATCTTGTGATGTATAAGCTCTAAAAATTTAATTTTAAATGACTTAACATTTAGGCCATCTGCAAACTGTAATAATTTTTATTTACATTCTAGAAGATTATGTTCTTTCTCAGAAAAGAATTGAGGCAAGAAAAGCGTTTGTTCAAGATTTAGAAACTTATGTACGAAAGATATATCAAAGTAAGTATGATTCAATGACCACTTACTTCCAGAGTATATTTTATTAAATAATTTTTTCTCGTGCTTTAATTGGACAGTCTTCAAAATTTTGTATTGAGTAATTCATATTCCTGTTGTGTAGCACTGCCTAATTGTTTTTATTGAGATAAAATATTAAATGCATTTATTTCTTTTCATAAGAAAGAAATGAGGCAAAATATAAAAGTATGTATTTCTCATTAAATGCGCTTCTTAGAAAACAACATCATTATTCCTTCAATTTTGACATACCATTGAATTTTAAACCTCCCCCTTAATTTCAGTCTCACCAACTGAGAAATTAAAATGAATGAAATCAAATACTAAAAATAGGTCTAGTAAATACTTCTCTGATCAAGTAAATACCTCCTCTCTGATTTATTAACAATGTTAATATGCCATCGCTGCCTACTGTCCCAGTTTTCTTCGCATCTCCGAATCTCTTTGTACATCACAGAATCTCCTGGTCTTTAATTCTTAGCCTTTACCAAGAAAAATGTTTCCCAGCAATAAACAAAATTTATTGAATTATAAACACCTAAATTATGCAAATTCCATTCCTCAATCCCTAGTGATTTTCAACCTAACATTTCTTAACTTTTATCTTGTTCTGCTGTAGTGGTTTATGAAACTTTTTATGAATATTCAATCAGTATTTGATCAGTTAATATTTGTATTTAATTTTGTTTAACATTAATAAGTGATTTATTACAAGTTTGCCCACACAATAATGTGTATATTAATTGTTAATTTTATTTTTATCATACTGTAATGTACTTCGATAAATAAAAGCTTTCTTTCCCTACTCTAGATTTCCTCAATATAAAAATTTAAGGAAATGACAAAATGAAATTAGGAATATCTAAATAACCATTAAAAATATTATATTTAATTAATCACTAAAAATCATTAGATAAAATTTACAATATCTATTTATTCATTAATTATATATCAGAATCGTGTTATAAATAGCTCAGTCATACTTCAAAATGAGTTTTAGTTTGGAGTTTTTTTAAAATAGTGTCACTGGGCAGAATGAAAACATCCCAGAAAGTCCTGTTTATTTCACTAGAAACTTCCTAGTTTTTCCCATATTTCAAAATTGGTGGCTATGGTGTTCAATTTGCCACGCTTTTGGAAACTCTTTAGTGGAAACACAACTAGACTGATTGCTGTAAACTTGTGCCAAAGTTTTAATCCCAGAGAAGGCATTGATGTGTGTAAATATGTAGTATCTTATCAGCATTGGGGTACTTAAAATAGTACCAAGCCGCAAGTCTTTACAAATTGGTGATTAGAAAAGAGAAATGAAAAACCCTCAGATCTGTCCCTAGGGGTATTCTCCTTCAAAATTGAGGCGAAGTTGGATAAAATGCATTTTAAGGTACATTATGTATCAGTGGAAAGATAATTTAATCAAGAATGTGATGATAATATTTATTATTTTTCATCAGAACACCATTTATAAAGAAATAAATTAAAGTACATAGAGAAAATGAAATATACAAAAATTATCACCAGTTAATATTTTGTTGAGTAAGCTTTAGTAACAACCTTATAATACCTTCCCATGGAGGTTTTTTAGTTCTGCAGATGTTATAATGTGAAACCAAGACTGAACTATTACGTCTGTTAATTGGATTTTATTACTAGGTTGTGTCTACATAACAGTTTCTTTAGTTGACTCAATAGATTTTCACATGGGGTTTAAGTGTGGGCTGTCCCCAGGACATTCCAGGAGTGGAATGTGATTATCTTCAAAATCATGTTCTGCAATCAACACCAACATGACATCGAACTGAATCGTGTTGAAACATGAATGCTTCATTATTTTTTAAAAGATAGATGCTGATTGCTCCATATAAGACTGCTCCATTGTCCTGCTATTCAATTAACTTGATTTTAGCCCAGTTTAATCTTTTTATCCTTTGTCTAGGCTATAACAATGGCATTTTTGTTGGTGTGGTGGTGGCTGTGTGTGTGTGTAATTCTAGCATTTAAATAAAATTTTTACAGTCTGCTCTGAACAGTCCTTGCACTCAACTTCACAGTGGGCTGTATCATTTCTTCTTGTATGCATCTCAAAAGATTTACTTTCAACACTTAGGCTAGTCTTTTAATTTTTATATCATCACTTAGTGTTATGCACCATTTTCTGCACTTACCTGCCTGGTTTTATGGTAACAAACTGTATATGTACCTCTTCAAAAATTTAGAAATGCTACTTTTGTTTAAGTTTCCACTTATTTTTTCCTTAATTTCTCATACCTATAACTTTGTTCATTTGGTAGTACTATTTTGCATCACTTTCTGAGTGACCAGTCAAATCTGCACCTTTTCTCTAATTTTATTTTATTCTAAATTTCAATAAATTAAAGCGTATAAACACACACACTCCAAAAAAAATTATAGAAGTCTGACAAATATTTTTTGTATGAGATTCAGTGCATAGTATCATTAGTAAATACTTATTGTGCTCTGATCTGCAGACTGTTGAAATAAGATGGCACCTGCTTTACTCTCTATGCATGCTCATTGGCTACATTCAGATGAAGGTAAGCCACTTCAGAAGAATATAAGCAAACTGTGCTTCTTTTTCTTCCTTTTTATGAAGTAAAGGAAGTATTGTAACTGAAAAAAATGGGTTATCATACTTCAAGCAAAAATATTAAATTTCCTTAGAGATATCCGTACAGTATCGCAATATCTCACAGTAGTTATCTTTTAAACTACTAAAAGTTCAATAGAACTTATTTAAAAACAGAGAAAGCTGATTTGATTTCACCGCGAATTCGCTACAGTAAACATGACAGTTATCCAAACAACAACTGAATTGAGATGTTTCATACAAGCTTTTATGAGCTTTTTAATGTGTCACAAGAAGCTTTTCTCAATTTCTCAAGTTTTCTGGAAAGTAAAAGAGAAGAATTACGAGATATCTGTTTATTAAATGTGCCTACTTCTGTATTTAACTTTTCAGGGGTAGCTTTTTCTTCAAATAAGTCTTGTGCTGCATTGCATGGGAATATAAAACAATCTTAATTACAAATTCTAATAAAAATAGCTAAATAAATACAAAAATCGTAACACTGCCCCCTTCCCAAGGGCTACACGTCCCAGGCAGTACAATCCCTGAACAGGAAAACAAGCTTATAACTAAGGCAGTAATAAACATTACTTTACAATAACAGCATAAACAATAATTGCAATAAGTAAATTTAAACAGCTCAAATGCTATCAAATACCAAATACAAATCAAATCAAATATAAGTTTAGAAACAAAAATACCATGGTCTTTACTATTTACAATTATATACACTACGTACTATGGCCATAGTAAGTTGCTAATCTGTCGTAATAAATGACTTCAGGTTTAGGGTTCAATGATTTACGAATCCAAACCATGACGTCGTTCAGCTTGTTTAGGACTGTGTACGAACCATCCCAAGGTGACTGTAATTTCGGATGTAGTCCTCTTCATCAAGTCAGATTCTACAACCACACCTTGTCTCCTTTATTGAATCAATGTCCAGTAGCTCTGGTGTTGTATTGGGTCTTCATCTTCTCCATCAGCAAGTTGACTCACTCTCGTGCAAAGTTGTGTATCCCTTCAAACCAGGCTTGGAGATGAATGTCTTCCTCATGTGATAAAAGCCCAACCAGAGGGCGACCAAACAAAACATCACAAGGTCGAAGATGAAGGTCATAACCGATAAGCATTTGGCATGGAAAATGGCTGGCAGTCTCATGTTTCTCTTCGACCCTAGCAGGATTTCAGCAGCTTTCTGAGCAGGGTCTTTTACACAAGACGTCAGTGTTTCTAGGTGAGGATCTCTTCTGATGATGGGTAGTTATATCCTCTGATGCTGAAAGCTGTTTGTTGTTTGGGGGGATCCAAGGAAAAATCATATTTCCTTAGAAAGTCCAATCCGAATATGCAAGGACCTGTAATCTCTGCCATGTATGCCATGTGATAGTAGGCACGTGATGTTTATGTTTAACTTCCCAGCTACGTTGATTTCATCACCAGATGCAGTCTGTAGGGTAACACAGGATGGAGTCAAATCAGTTTATCTTTAAATTGTTGAACTAAAGCTTTCCGAATGATAGTAACATTAGCTCCTGTGTCAATAATCATATTGCAAGGAACTCCATCGATATGGCCATTGATGAATAGTCCATTACTGTTGCCACTCACTGCAGAAATCTTGAGTGCTCTCAAATGGTGTTTTTCATTATCTTGCAACCTCTGTTCCTCGATATAGTCATTAATGTTTCCTGCATCATTGCTGGGAAATGGTATTATTTTCCATGGCCTGGGGTGTTCTGCAGTTTCTTCGTACATGGCCTTCAGCTCCTCAGTTCCAGCACTTTTGTTTCTCCTCACTCCTTTTCCTTCTCATGACATTTAATTGTCTGTCTAAATCTCCTGTCTTTCTTTCCGTGCTCGGGGTGTTCTGTAGTTCCTTTGTATGTGGACTTCACCACAGTTCCAGTACCTTAGAGTCTGTTTCTTCTCACTCCATATCAAAGCATTGACTTGCCTGGATAAATCATCTAAACGAGCCATCAATGCTGGGCTGTCTTGAATTTTATGGCATACACCAGAGTACTTTTTACCTCCTTTGTCATCCACCATTCGTAGAGCCTTCTGTATTTCAGGATCCCAGATGCCATTGATGAAGTACTGCAGGGACAGGATTTCCCTTGTTCCTGTTGGGCACTCTTGAAAGGCGAGATGGGACAGCCTTTCAACATCTGTGGCGAGCTCTTGGAGTGTTTCCATGGGCTTTTGTTGATGGGATTTTAATTGAAGCCTACTGTAGTCTTCTAAACATTTCTCGCCAAAGCGCAGCTCCAACCATGGCTGTGGAGTCGGGCAGATTTTGGGATAAAAGGAGTTGGAGCTGGAGTCGCTAAAAACAGGTTGACTCCGACTCCAGTTTTCATTGGACAGTTTGAATTTGAAATGAAATTAAAAT